TGTTCTGGGAGTCTGATTCATAGAAAAATACAGGCTTGCTGAAGAAAAACTGAAGATTATAAAGAGATTAAAAACCACTCTTGGTTCAGCAGGCCAGAGATAACTTATTATTATTTATGCTTTGTTGTATTTCTTTTGACTCTTAAATGTTAGTAGTGTGTTCAAAAACATGACTTTTAATGCTTCAGTGTATTCTCACGAGCATAACTCACATCCATTTCTTCATTATTGGACATTTAGGTAGTTTGTAAGAACTGTTTTCTACTGAATGTTTTTAAAAGGCAGCTTTTTCCTTTATATTAAATACCAACTTACATAAATTCCTCATTGTAAGATTTCTATATTGACTTCTATCAGCACTGGAACACAAGGCCCTACAGGCAAAAGTGACCAACCAAAAACCCATCAGCGCATCTTCCAGGAACATAGCTAGTGAGGTGAGAGCTTGTCTGAGCCTCACTACCCTCAGTGAGGTAAGAGAAATTAAAAGTGAACAGGGATGAGGAGGTCTGTTATATACTGGGATGTAGGAATAGAAAAGGAAGACAAGAATATTCCAAAGCATAAATTATAACTTCACAAATAGAATAGTTTTGAGGCATTTTTGTACAATGCTCAATAAATATATGGACCTGAAGCTAAGGTTTTCTTTTTTTTCCACATTCAACAAAACAAATCAAAGCTCAATTTTAATTTATTTCTATAGATTATTACTGGTACCTGTCCTATTCCAGGCTTATTAGTGCTTGGTAATAAAAATGAATTTCTGTCCCACCCCCCTGAGGTTCATTATTAGCATCCTCTCTACATCCACAATAAGAATTTATAATTGATCATTCATGACCTTGGGAAACTACAAGAGATCCTTCAGCCACCACAAATGAAGTGAGGGGCTGGGGCTCAGTGGAGAGCACCTGCCTCACACGTGTGAAGCCCTGGGTTTGATTCTCAGCACTGCATATAAATAAATAAAGGTCCATTGACAACTTAAAAAAATATTTAAAAAGAAAAAGAATATAAAATGAAGTGAGAGGCTGGGGTTGTAGCTCAGAGGAAGAGCACTTGCCTAGCATGAGTGGGGCACTAGGTTTGATCTTAGCACCACATAAAAATCTACAACTTAAAAAATTAAAAGTGGGGGCTGGAGAATGTGGCCCAGCAATTAATCACTCTGGGTTCGATACCTGTACCAAAAAAAAAAAAAAAAAAAGAGTGAATACTGGAGGCTTGGGAGGCTGAGGTAGGAGAATCACAAGTTGAAAGCTAGCAACTTAGCAAGGCCCCAAGCAACCTAGCAAGACCCTGTCTCAAAATATTATTTAAGGGGCTGGGATTGTGGCTCAGCAGTAGAGCACTCCCCTAGCATAGGCGGGACCCAGGTTCCATCCTCAGCACCACATAAAAATAAAGGCATTGTGTTGTGTCCATCTACACCTAAAGAAATAAATATTAAATATATATATATATATATATATATATAAAATTTAAAAGGGGCTGGGGTTGTAGCTCAGTGGTAGAGCAGAGCACTTGCCTGCATGCGTGAGGCACTGGGTTCAATCCTCAGCACCACATAAAAATAAATAAATATATTTTTAAATGTATTAAAAAGAGGGGGGTTTGCTGGGGATGTGGCTCAGTGGTTAAGCAACCCTTGTTCAATCCTTGGTACAAAAAAATTTAAATATACACACACACACACACACACACACACTTAAACGAAGATTATTCTGATAGATTGATTGGCAGAGGTGCAAGAATAGAAATATGAAGAGAAATAAGGAAGCCATGTCAGGCTAGAAACTCAGGAGGCTGAGGGAGGAGGATTGTTAAGTTCAAGGCTGGCCTGCAACTTAGTGAGAACCTGTCTCAAAATAAAAGGGCTGGGGATAAAATTCAGTGGTAACGAACCCCTTGGTTCAGTCCCCAGTACCAAAAATAATATTAAGGAAGCCATTACAGACATCTATATAATAGATAGTGGTAGCTTGAAAAGCAAGGACTCAGGAAACCCTAGTGACATCTCAGGTGAAAAGATGAACAGTTAGCCAAAGAGATGGATACTTCAAGCAATTCAAAAATATATACATGGCATATGACCATAACCCTTCCAACATGGTTAACAGCCTAGTATGGCAGTAGCAAAGGGTATGGAATTGTTAGGAAACTAGTAATCGAAGCAGGAAAATACAGTGCGCTACACTAAGTCCATGGCAATAGGAAGGAAGAAGCAGGACTGTGTCTATGCGGTACAAGAAGCAGGAAGGGCTGGAGGGCTGGGGTTGTGGCTCAGTGGTAGAGCATTTGCCTAGCATGTATGATTCCCTGGGTTTGATCCTCAGCACCACATATGAATAAACAAAGTTAAAAATCCATTGGCAACTAAAAAAATATTTTAAAAAAAAAAAAAAAGAAACTGGCTGTATTTGAAGAAATAAAAGGGAAAGAGGAAGAACTTGGGATAACTAGGTTTCTGGCTTCGAGGAGTTAATGGTAATATTTAAATAGGAAGAACAAGGGCATCAAGAAAGGTGAGTTCAGGTTTGTAGAAGCAGCCATCCTGAAAGACCCATCTAGTAGGCAGCTAGATTCAAGGGGTCTTCAGTTTAGAAATCTGAGAAGCCATAGGTGAACAAGTGGTGGGCAAAGCATGGTGAGAGTAGATTGCCAGGGAAGTAAAAAGGAGAACTTAGTCCAGAATCTCACCTGCAGACACTGAAGGGAAAGGGGTAGAGCAGGGTTTCTCAATAGCACTGATGTTTTAATCCGGGTAATTCCATCAAGAGGCATTTCTGGCATATTGTAGGATGTTTAGCAGTATCCTTGGGTATAACTAGTGCAAGTAAGACACACCCAGTTTTGATCATCAACTATATCTCCAGACATTACCAAATGACACCTGGGAGCAAAATCACCCCAGTTGAGAATTTCAAGGACAGTCAATGGATGAACTCCCAGTACTGGTGATTGAACAGGGGTGCTCTACCACTGAGCTGTATTCCAAGACCTATTTTATTATTTGAGACAGGGTTTCACTGAGTTGCCCAGACTGGCCTTGAATTTGCAATTCTCTTGTTTCAGCACCCCCTGCCCCCACCCCAAGTAGCTGGGATTACAGGCAGGCACATTGGCACCTGGTTTTTGTAAATTTTACTCAAAATAAGACAAAAATTTGTAATCCTGCCCCTTAAAGAGGATTAGGTCTCACTGCCATACTTTGAAAAGCTTCAATACTTCATCACAAAAATTGTAGGTAACATTTGTCAAGTTTATCACGTCCTAATCTGCACTGCATTCTGAGGAATAGGAACTCAATAGTTGACAAAACTGATGTAGAGGGGGTAATATACTCAGTTACATGGAGCAAATTCAGATTGGAACAGATTGTAGAGTCCTGAGTCCAAAACCCATGCTCTAGAGCTAAATCACTAGCAGTCTTCTATTTGCCTCCACTAGACTCCAAGTGCTGTGAAGCAGCGCTGGTTCACTCTTTCCCCCATTGTATTTTTAGCATTTGGCTCATGCTTAGCAACAGGAGTTCAAATATTTATTGAATGAGTCTCACTTCAGACAACTCTGAAAACTCTTATTCTCAGACCTGCGTTGAAACTGACAACTTACAGAATCATGTTCATGCACCAAGGGTTAGAAAATGTTTTTCCCTTCTGACAGAAAATGGTGTTACATCCTACAACTAAACTTTTTGAGAATTTTGTTCCCAAAAATGAAGGCTCTGTCACCCACCACTTAACTAACTCCTATTAGAGCAGTTTACCCTCCTAACTGCCTCATCTAACATATCTACTTCCATTAAGGCCTCAAAGATAAAGGGACATAGGAGTGGAAACAAAAGAGGAATTGGGAGTATTGTTGCAAAATGATTATTCATTTCTGATAGTATCATAAGGTGGTATTCATAGGGAACAATTTCCCAAACACCAGGTAGGCTTTTTAAAGTTTTAACCTCCTCTAATCTCTATTCAAAGGAGCCAGGCACAATGGTAGGTGCTTGTAGTCCCAGCAACCCTGAAGACAGGGGAGGATTACTTGAGCCAAAGTAGTTCAAGGCCAGGCTGAGCAACATAGTGAGACCCCACTTCAAAAAGGGTGGGGCCAGAGAGAAGGATGTAGTTCAATGGTAGAGTACTTGCCTAGCATACATGAGGTCTTCCTGGATTTGATCCCGAGCACCACCCCCCCAAAAATCACTACTTGGCCTTGGTACCTTTTTTATTAACTGTACATCCAGAAATTTCTGCTCAAACGTTGTGGAAGGTCCCTCCAAAAAGTAACAAGGCTAAGCCAGTGATGTCAAATACAAAGAGACTTAAGTAAATGACCATGTGTACGTATGCTTCTGGGTTCAGATGAAGCCTCAGAATATTTATCAATTCAATACTTCAGGCAGCCATCATCCAACAATATATTTTGTCATCTTTGCCTAAAGCAAATATCAGGGACAGCATGGAAGACATGAAGAGAGCAGAGGTTAATTTTCCAGCAATAACATCTGTGCTGTGGAGTCCTGCAAAACAAAATGGAAGGAAATCCATGAATGGGCTTTAGCATGCTCTGTGCACACACTTGCACATCTGAATGTGCTTATTGGAAGCTATGGAGAAAAACTATAAAGCAGCCTAAGAGTTGAGAAAGTGTAAGTCTGGGTGGAAACCACTTTAAAACATTCATGTAAAGCTCCTAACATTCCTTACCTATGGGCACCATCCATAATGCTTTTTTCCACCAAGGCCTGTAAGGAAAGCCTCATTCATATAGTACATTTTCTATGAATTCTAACAGAGACTTAAGTTTTAAGGAACAGGAACAATGTCTCTGCTCTTAAGAGTGTTATCTCTGGAACAGCACAGTTGTTTACAGCCGCCATTTAGCAACTGAGGGTACTTCTTCAGGCTATTTCTCCTTCTATTTTATATATTGACTTCTACACAAATATTAGAATATTTTTCAAAACTCAGAAACTTAATTTTGCTTTTTTCTTTCAGCTCCTTTGAAGATTATGAAACAGATGAACCTGCCTCTCCCTCTGAATTTGGAAACAAAGGCAATAAAATAAATTCAAGCCTTTCAGAGAAACATGGAAAGCTTCAGTCAGTGGATGAAGAGTAGCTGCCAATGTCTACATAAAAGGAAGATATTTTAAATACTCTTTTCTTGTGAAGAGATGCCCTAGTTTGCATACTGCTTTTTAAAGGCTTTGATTTCTCCCAAGAGTGTATCTGCACTGGGAACTTTAAAATGCTTTTAAGCAGTGGGTATAGATACACCCTCAACTTAGGCAACTCCTCCAGTTTGCCTGAAACCTCTTGCAGAATTTTCCTTGGAAGTGAACGTAAGGATGTGCCTGCCATCCATCACCTTCCGAAGTCTGCAAATCAGCACCTACACCCCTGAATGTACCAAGGATCTCTTGGGACAGTGCCAAGCAATTAGTCTCTGCACAGCAGCAGAAGTTGCCTCAGTGTTGGCCAGCATCCCTGAGGCCCTTAAGGGCTCCTATGGAGCCTACAAGAAACACTTGCAGAAAACTTGAGTCAAAAATTAATTCTGGAACTTGAATTTCAAGTATTAAGGGCCTCCAGAATTGACTTAGCCCTAGTAATAAAAAGCACTGCCAAAACATCTCAAAGACTCAATCTTGTGTACTGGAGTTCAAAGATCTTGAACTAACCTGGTTCAATGTTAATTTCCCAATAACCTGCCAAACTGCTAGTCACTTTACATCCTCAGGTATTGTAACCACTGGGCCTTCCAAGCTCTGGCAACCTCCCCATCCTGACTGTGGATTTTACATAAAATATCAAGAAAAAAATATGAAGATAAGTGCAGAATTTGACTCATGACTCATACTTGAAAAAATAAGGTCCTTTTATCTAACAGTTGTAGAGAACTATTAAATGATAATATTAATCTCCAAATTAATTGATGCCCTATCTTCACTCTAACAGAAGAGCTAATCAAAGACTTAAAATGGGATGATGCACTGTATAAAATAAATGTTCTTATTGTATTCCTTTCTGCAATGAGTATTAAATGAGGCCAAAAGCAAAACCTTAAACATTATTCCTTCAGTGTTGAAACTGTTCACCAGCTTTCATCCACCTCAGTATTCCTCACAGAAATGGAAAAACAGTGATGGCACCCATGAAAGAAAGCTGTTATTTACCATAGTGATCGATGTGTTCATTTCAGAATTCTACATTTTTCAGCTGGCCACAGTGCAGCCAAATCCTACAGTATGGAGGGGGATGGGAGGAAGGATAAAAATTGAAAAGAATTACTTAAAAGGATGGGTATTTCTGATAGAAGTAAAAGAAGCCCCACCCAAGCATCTTTTTTAATATTTCTGTTCATCAAGTTTCCCTAGACTTTTTTTCTTTTAACCAGCATTTAAAGTGTTGGAGTAGCTTCCCTTTCAATTCCACCTTGGTTCCCCTTGTTGGTATAAAAGCTAAGGACTGAAATAAAACCTTGGGTTATGGCAAGCAAAAAGCAGAGACAAGAGAACTTAGGAAGTGCATACCAACTAATACTGTAAGACAGCAATATTGCCTGTCAAAAGGTCCTCCCAGTTTCTTGTTATTTTATTCATGATTAGAACTGATCTTCCATTAAACAGCTAAAGAAATAACTATTACAGCTAATAGTTTTAAAAATGAGAGAAATTTTAGGAAACACCACATACAATATCCCAAACACATGATAATTTATGATACATGAAATTTACCAGCAATCTCATTCATCATTTACCAGGAAAAGAAAACTTTTTAAATTTCAGATAAAAGTATAAAAGGAAGGAAGTAATATTTTAGGAAACTAAACATAGTTTACAGGTTTGTTGTCCATAATGACCTAAACTTTCTGACCCTCACCAAAAAGTATAACTAAATTCAGTTGTACAATGTTTTTTCCCTCCAGGCATGGTGGCACTAACCTGTAATCCCAGCAGCATGGGAGGCTGAGGCAGAAGGATCACAAATTCAAGGCCAGCTTCAGCAACTTAGTGAGACCCTAAGCAACTTAGCAAGACCATATCTCAAAATAAAAAATAAAAAGGACTGAGGATGTAGCTTAGTGGTTAAACACCCCTGGGTTCAATCCTTGGTACCAAAAAACAAAAATTAATATATATTTTTCAAATTATTTGACTTCAGTTTTTTTATCTTGTTTTATGTTACTCAAGTTCTCTAGCTTTTGCTTGGGTCAGTATTTGGTTTTAAAAGTCTATTATCCCAAAAGAAATTTTCAGAATGAAAATGTACTACTAGCAACACCATCCCAATATAGGATAGTTTAATTTGGGTTCTTCAAATTATCACATTTTCTTTAAGAATTATATGCATGTATTTCATTGTACTCCTTTCTTAGAGCTGAATTCAAGGAATGTGAATTCTGGGGAACTAGGATAAAACATAACTGACTTTCTTGTAAAGATCATGCTAAATATAATCATTATTGCTAAACTGGAAATTTCAAGTCATTACAATATCCCAGGTCCCTTGAAAAAATATTAGGTTGAGAGTTATCATTACCTTAAAGCTATTTAATGAGTTTATAGCATAATTGCCAAGGTAATCAAACTAATAAAGTTTTGTGTATTTTTCTGCATCTTGCTTGTCACTGTGTACCATTCAGAGTGTTTATAAAACTCTAGACTGATCAGTCATTTGCTCAGCTTTTGAAAATGTTAAGGTGTGTTTTGAGTGGAGAAGGCTGCATGTCTTTTGTTTTTCCCTTTTCACAAAGCTAAATAAAGTTGTCAAATATGAATCATGTTTCACTAAGATAATCAATTTCTGGTTTTGCTCACTTACAACTCATTTATGTGTGAAAAAGTAATGCTGTGAACAAGCCTCAGTTTTTGAAAGTAACTCTTTGAATCCCTGGGAACACTATGAACAAAGGTGTAGAAGAATATCTCAACCTGAGAAGTGCTTTCCTTTGGGGACAGGAATCGGGGTTTGGGAGTGAGGGGGTTTCAGAGGAATCAGGACTTCAAGCCTTACCTATCATGTATAATTTTTTAAGGGAAAATATATAAATTTATATAAATATATATAAGCAGAAATGTGTTAGATCCAGACACTAAACTTTGGAACTTACTATTTTCTAAAGCACTTGTTACCGATGGTATGAAAAAGGACAGTTTTCTCATCTATGGTAAAACTTTTACTTTTCTTCAGCAAAGTTGCCATTGAATCATTTTAGAAAAACAAAGGACACAATGAAATAAAAGGAATTCTCTATCTTAGAACCAAACTGCACCTCTGCATAGAAATGTACATTTAATGAAGGCTAACCAAAAAGATAAACTGTCAGCTCTAAAACTATTATTTAAGGACTCAAAACAACATTGAAGGGCTGGGACTGTAGCTCAGTGACAGAGTGCTTGCCTAGCATGTGTTGAGGCACTGGGTTCAATCCTTAGCACCACATAAAAATAACTAAAATAATGGCATTCTGTCCAGCTATAACATTGAAGACATGCCATATTAAATGCTGTTCTTGTAGTTTCATATCCTGATGAAGTAAATCCAGTTACTTTAGTAATTCCCTAGTCATTGGTCAGCATTCCTAAATACTTGTAGTATAAAGAAATAAATAAAACCAAGGCACTGTAATTATTTACACTTCCCCAAATTAACAGACCATTCAGAGCATGCTATCCCAAATTCCTCAGTATTCTACAACATAGAATTAGAAAACTATCATTTATTGATAGATTTAAGGTGTAATACAGGTTTCCAAAAATGTGGCAGTGAGAATACCAGCATAAAAAAGAGAAAACTTGTGCTAAAAACAACCTGAATTCATCATTGGCAATATTACATAACAATCAAGGTCCTCACATACTAATGATTTCCACTTTGTCTATATTGCCAACCTCCCATGCATCAAAAAACACAAAATTAATATTATCAAAGTTGGGAAGGAATAAAGTACTTCAAGAATTTTAAGATCATAATATTAGGAAAGTTTGAGAGATTTGCAAAATATATCCTACTCATCCATGTGTTGTACAATATCATTTCTAGTCATTTTTGCAGTGATCATTAGTGAATAAAGAACAGATTTACAAGTTTATATAGCAGGGTATCTGGGTTCAACACAAAACTGTTACAAACTTTAGGTAAATACATGTTTCATAAACACTGCTAACACTTAAAGGAATTAAATAAAATTCCAAAACTTGGAAAGCAAATAAAGACAAGACAACTAAGAAGCATTTTCCACCATTTACTCTTGTTATCAAAAATAGTTCAACTCTTCTTGCAAAACAAAAACAAAATAGTACATACTGGACACATACATCACATTTTTCTTCCTATGGCTTTAGCCCACCCCCCCCCCACCAAAAAAAGACCGAAAAAAAAAAAAAAAAAAAAAAAAAGCCCAACAACAACAGAAACAATTCTACCTGACCACATTCACAGAAAATGACACCAGGATACACTACAAAACAGAAGGAGGTGTCATCTGCTCTGTGTCCAAAGGTTTCTTCTCCATATCTTGTACTAGGCGAGTAACCATCATTGAACATGCTGTGTGCCAAATCAAAACAACTTCAACATATGTCAGATCTCACTAGAGATGGTGAACGCAGTAGAAATTGGAACTTTTCCAGCAGTATTTTTCTTTAAATAAGCACTGTCAAAGCAGCAACTCTTCTTTAAAATCATAAGGTTATTTCTTTACACCTAGTCAGTCCTTGTTTTTCTTGGACTGTGCTCTTTCAAGCAACTGACTAGATTTCCCTTCAACAGAATGTTTATCTTCCCAGTAAAAATTAAAGGGAAGAAGTACATTTAAACTGAAACACAGTTTGTGCTTTACATGCAAAAGAGCATTCTAAAGGAAATCCTCCTAGCTTCAAACCTACCTAAATGCACAGGCTTCATAAAAAGGCATTTTTAGTAGGCCTCAATAGAGAAGCCTTATTAATGAATAGCACCCTAAAAAAAATAGGAGCATATTCAAAATAAAGTCTGTGGCAAATAAACAGAGGAAAGATAAATCAAAACAGCAGCCAATGGCAATAAGTATAATGCATGAATCTGGATAAGTTTGGGGGCATTATTCCAAAATTATTTTAAACAAATCCCAATTTCAAAATAAAAATCTTTATAATTTTTTAAAAATTCTGTCTTATACTATATATAGTCTAAATTCAATTACCTCCTTCAGAATAAAACTGCTCTTCATTTTTCCAATTGGAACATTGCACAAAGTGAAGGTAGGAGTTAGAATTTTTTTCCTAGAAATGAGTCAGTCTTTACTATAAAGGAGGCTCAACTCGTAGTTTTGGAGTATAAACAGCTAAACATTTGCAGTCTGACTGAATTTGTTCACTTTTTTAAAAGACAGTTTTCTTAAACATTCTAATGAGGGGCAAATTTTCTTTCATAATACTGCTGATTTAAGAACTGCTACATACACCAGTAGCCAATTTTCATGATCAGAAATGGTATGATGTCAGCACAAAGGTTGAGCTGGACACATCAGCTTTACAACAGGAGAAACAATGGGGCATCTGAAGGCAGCACTGAGTCTCCTGAACAAACTAATGGCTACATTTCCACAAAAAAATTAGCACAATCTTTATGAACTGACTAGATACCACTTCCTTACACTTAATCATAAACTTTGATTATGCACAAAGCATGACCATAAACAATGAGGTTAATGTTATTTTCCTTGCCAAAGTTCATTTTGTATAAATCAGTTGCATCAGCATTTGTTCTCAAACTATGAGGTTCTGTAAGAACTAAGGACATATAGTTGTAGGGTTACTCCTCCATTATCTGCAAACTATTTCCCCGACACTAACACATATAACTTAGCAATGAAAACACTTGATACAAGTGATCTATATGCAGGAGCTCCGGCAAGTTATACCAACAGAACCATAGCTGCCGTAAAACTGTAGCTATTTCCCTACCAGAGGTAGGTTTAAAGACCCACTGATTTAACAGTCGAATCTCATGTCTATAGCTTCATCCAAACTTTTATCATCGTGTGTACTGGCAGCTAAAAACGTTGTTACTGGGGACCCTGTGACATTAATTACACTGGTGCTGGTACTAGCGTTACGCACTGCAATGCTAGTTACATTAATGCCCAAAGTGAGCCTGGTCTGCTCCAAGGCCTTTTCTGGCACAGCAAATGCCTCCAGCTTCTTCTCCCCGTTGGCCATATAGGAGTTTTGGCAGCCACGACAAATACAATCTAAGCAGGCTTTGCGGTTAGAGTAGCAAGGGCAGCGTTGGCCGCGGCATGTAAGAACACTTGGATTTTGAGTAGCACGCCCACATTTACACCCTTTCTTTTCCTGGGGCTTTTTGTACACCGTCTTGGTAGGGCTTCCCGGCATAAAATGATGACTAGGAATCTTTTCCTTTACTGCTTTGTCTTTTTTTAGAATACCTGGCTTGGTTTTAGAGTGAGATTTCTTGGATCCATGTTCATGACTCTTTTTCATGCTTTTAGTAGATAAAAGTACAGTCTTACTGATTTTGGGTGTCGTGCCTCCATTGGGAACAGTTGCTATAGGTTGAAGAGAAATTTTGTTCTCCCGTTTCACCGTAACAGGAGCAGATGCCCCCAGTGTTGGGCCTCGGATGATGGTAGAAATTGGAAGTGGCTGAACTTTCTCACTGTCGCTTTCTGATCTAGATCGTTTTCTATTCAATTTTGCTACCTTCGGAGTTGCTGCTGTACATGATAACCCATGAAGTGCAGGACTGGTGGACATAAAAACATTATGGCTAAGAGACTGGGAAGAAAGCTGCAAAAAAGGTCCATTGGATACAGTGGCTTCCAAGTTCGGCTGCAAATTAGGACAACAAACATCTGTATTTGAAACAGTTTCTAAGCTGCGGAGTACTTCCTCAACACTCAGTAAGAGAGAGTCACCAGGTTTAATATCTTCACTGAAACTGCAGATATCAATGCCTGTGGAGCATAAATCAGTGGCTACCGCATCACAGACAGGTGGTAGGCTGTCAGATAGATCCTCAGTTTTTATGTCAACAGTATTACATACATCAATCGTATTTGAATGTTCAGGTGAAGGAATATTTATACCAAATCTATCTATTGAAAGCCCATTATAAGTAGGCAAACCATTGATAACAGAACTGCCAATAGCAATGCTGAGGGTGCCTTCAGACATTGGAGATAAACTAGCTTGAGGATCAGTTGTGGGTTCTGAGGTTGAAGGTAAAGGGGAATGTGTCAAACACAAAGTAAAGGATGAATCTGAGGGTTTTTCTGTCTCCTCACAAAACAATGATCCATCATTAAGCAAAGCCAAAATATCAGAAGAACAGTCGACTGCTTCTATTATATCCCGTGCCAACGTAGTCTGTGTTATATATTCACATAGTTTTTTGTAGCAGTTCACTAAGATGCTTAACTGCTTGTTTTCCTCAAACTGCTCATAGTCTTTGCACCAGCTACATGAAGGTTTCATCATCATTTTCTTGCCTTTACAAGTTTTGCAGACATAGTGTTGGCAGGTGGAGTTGGTGGGTGCAATAGGATCTTGCAGCAAATGTCCTAAGGGAGGAAAGCAAAAATTTTAGTAAAATAAATCCACAGTTTCACATACTGAAGTTAACAAGACATTAATCTAGATGAGTTAAACTCAACAGACAACAAAAATATATTTGAAAAGAAATGGAAAAATACTCAATAGTTCACTTCATTTCCATGATATATTCCTTTATCTCAAAATATGATCTTTCCTGATTCTCTTCTTCTCTCCAAAAGCTATTAATAAGTTAGAAGTGAGGGGCTGGGGTTGTGGCTCAGTGGTAGAGTGCTCATCTAGCACGGGTGAGGCAATGGGTTTGATCCTCAGCACCACATTAAAATAAATAAAAATAAAGGCATTGTGTCCACCTACAATTTTAAAAAAGGCGGGGGAATGAATTACCAAAAACATAAACTATGCTTAAAATCCTTGGAAATTCAGGCTGGGGGTTGTGGCTCAGCGGCAGAGCACTTGCCTAGCACATGTGAGACACTGGGCACCATCAATCAATCAATCAATAAATGGAAGTTACTGTGTCCATCTACACCTAAAAATATTTTTTTTAAAAATCCCTGGAATCTCAACCTAATGCAATATCAAATATTAAACAAAATCATGATTATTTTATATTGGACAATGGGGAAAAGATGAACAAGAAAGATTTTGTCCCTGCATTTTTAAAATGTCTTGAGAACATTAACCAATTAGTACAAAGACATTTTCACAAAAGAAAATATATTATTTTAACCAGCTTTTTTTTTTTAAGAGTTAGATACTTTCTTTTTTTTTTTTTTTTTAATTTTTTAGTTTTATTTTTTAGTTGTTGATAGACCTTTATTTATATATGGTGCTGAGAACTGAACCCAGTGCCTCACACATGCCAGGCAACTGCACTACTGCTACCGCTGAGCCCCAGCCCCAAATACTTTACTTCTTTTTAATATTTTTTTAGTTGTAGATGGAAACAATACCTTTATTTATTTACTTTTATATGGTGCTGAGAATCGAACCCAGCACCTCACACTGCTAGGCAAGTGCTCTACCGCTGAGCCACAACACCAGCCCTTCAACCAGCTTTTATTATACATACTTCATAAATGTAATGAAAAGAGAAAATCAAAATGTAGTTAAAGAGTACTACTGAACTAAATCTTCTACAAAGAACAAAATGGAGAAAAAATTATATTTAAACTTGCTAAAGGAAAAAAGTAAACAGAGCATAATAGTGGACTCCAATTCTTATAGAAGAATTCAAAATAAAATGACCATGGTCATAAATCATAAATATTATTTTTGGGGGGTGTACTGGGGATTGAACTCAGGGCAGGACACTCAACCAATGAACCACATCCCCAACCCTATATTGTATTTTATTTAGAGACAGGGTCTCATTGAGTTACTTAGCACCTCACTGTCGCTGAGGCTAGCTTTGAACTCACATCCTCCTGTCTCAGCCTCCCAAACCTTGAGATTATAGGTGTGCACCTCCACGCCCATCCATAAACCACAAATATTCTAAGTACAACAATATATTTTAAACTATATTTTAAACAATATAGTTTAAAAGTGACACTTGGGACAACTCTCAAATTATAAGTGTCCCATACATTATAAACCAACTAAGTTCCAATCCCTGTTTCCATCCTTACTCCCCAAAGCAGCAACTGTTCCTTGGTTCCCTATTTAGACAAATGATTCACAGTTAATCCAAAACCTCTTTTCTCATGAATCATACAAACAATGTTCTGACCACAACAAAAATTACAAATCAAGCTGGGCTTGGTGCACATCCCTGTAACCAACTCAGCAAGCTGAGGCAGGAGGATCCCAGGTTTGAGGTTAGCCTGGGCAACTTAGCGAGACTGACTCAAAAAATAAAAAAAGGCTGGGCTGGGGTTGTGGCTCAGCGGTAGAGTACTCGCCTAGCACATGCGAGGCCCTGGGTTCGATCCTCAGCATCACATAAAAATAAATAAATAAAGATATTGTGTCCAACCAAAAAATAAATATATATATTTTAAAAAGGCTTAAAAATTAAGGGAAAAAAAAGGCTGAAAATGAAAGAGGAGGTACAAAGTACCAAAACCAGGAAGGAGAGTAGGGAATAATTACTAGGACCCTATAGAAATTTTAAAAATTAAGAAAATCATTTTTTATTTGAAGACAGAGTCTTACTAAATTGTTGGTACTGGCCTCAAACTTGTGATCCTCCTGCCTCAGCCTCCCAATTTGCTGGGATAGCAGGCATGTACCACCAAGCCCAGCTGACTCACTTAAAAATTTCAAACCTGAATAAACCTTTCTGAAGAAATTGAAATAGCAATTTAACAGAGGCTGACACAGGAGGATTCCAAGTTTGAGGCCAGCCTGGGAAACCCAATAAGACCCTATCTCAAACTAAAAACCGCTGGGGATATAATTCAATGGCAGAGTGCACCTTGGTTCAATCCCCAATACAGCAACCGCTCCACACACAGGTGCAAAATAATAACAACCAAAACTAAAAAGGATAAGAAAGGAATCGTATCTTAAAATATACCTTAAAACAAAACTCTAGGACTAACTGCCCTCACTGGTAAATTCTAATAAATTTATTTTTTAACTTTAAATAAATGGGAGAAAACACTTCCCAACTTATTCTTTAAGCTAGTTAACTACTGAAATCCACATGAGAAAACACAAAAATCCCTCATGAAGGTAGACACAAAAACCCATAATAAAACAGTAAATAGAATCAAGCAATAAATAATCCAATAGCCATCCATAGTTTTAAAGACTTTAAACTAGAATTCTTTAACCTACAGCCATCATCATACTTTAAAAGGTGAAATATAAATTATTCTGCACTCCCAAAGATCAGGAACAAGGAAAGAGTGCCTGCTTTTGCCACGTCTATTTAAAATTATACTCAAGATTCTCATTAGTGCAGTAAGGGTCAAAAAAAACAACCCAAGGAATCCAGTTGGAAAAGACTTGAAACTGTCTTAGTAACTGATTACAGGATCCTATATAAAGAGAATCAAAACAAAAAATTTATACATAAAAACTATTTGAACCAATAAATGCAATAAATGAGTTTAGCAAGGTCACAGCACAAACAATGCACAAGAATTCCACATTCATAATCACAGAACACTGATGAAAGAAATTAGTAAAAAATAATCTAGAGACAACTATATTCTCAATATTGTCAAAATTGCAATCTTCCCCAAGTCAATCTGCAAATTCAAGATCTCAGGGTGCTTTTTCCCCCCTAAGACAAGGGAGAAGCTGATTCTAAGATTCACATGATATCAAAAGGGACCTTAAGATAGCCAAAGAACTCTGAAAACCAAAATTGGAGAACTTATACTACCAGATTCCAAATTTTACTATAAAGGCACGTTAATCAAGAAGTGTGGTAACAGAGATGGGTATGGCAGTGCACACCTGTAACCCCTGTGCTTAGGAGGTTGAGGCAGGAAGATCGTGAGTTCAAGCAACTCAGTGAGATTGTCTCTAAAATAATATGCAAAAAAGGTGGGTAGGGCTGGGTATGTGGCTTAGTGATTAAGTGCATGTGGGTTCGATCAAAATAAATAAGTAAATAAATAAATAAATAATCTATAAGATACTTCTACATACCCATTAGAACCGCTAAATTCCAAAGGGCAACACAAAAAGTTGATTAAAATGTGGAGAGGCTGGAGTTGTAGCTCAGAGGTAGAGCGCTCGCCTCGCACATGTGAGACTCTGGGTTCGATCCTCAGCACCACATGAAAATAAATAAGTGAAATAAAGGTATTGTGTCCAACTACAAAAAATAAATAAAGTGTGGAGAAATCTGTGTATTAATGGTGCAATGTAAAATGGTAGAATCACACTGGAAAATTTTAGAAGTTAAACAAATTTACCATACAACTTAACAATTCTACTCCTAGTAACCTATCAGAAGAGAAATGAAAACAAAGAAGCACAGTGGAATTTGGGGGATGATGAAAATATTCTAAAATCTGATTTGTGATAATGGATGTATAACTCTAAAATAAAATAAAAAGCTTAAGGCACCAATGGTTAATGGAATCCAACCTTCTACCCAATGTCAAGGAATCCCCTACAGAGTAGCCTTGACTTAATCTAGGTCAAGGAAGCACAAAAGGGATAAATAATAAATATAATACACATACACACTTTTCCCACCTACATGCATATACAATCATGTATCCCTTAATGATAAGGATATATTTTGAGAAATAAATCATTAGGTAATTTCATCATTGTGCAAATATCAGAAGACAGTACAGTCACACAAATCTAGATGGTACAGGCCAAGAACTCAGCATGGCTTCTTGATGCAAGCAAGAGTCATAGTAAACACAATAAATATGAGGGGGCAGGGTGCGGGGGGTGCTGTGGCTCAGTGGTAGAGCACTTGCCTAGCATGTGTGAGGCAGGGGTTCAATATCTGGCACCACATAAAAATAAAAACAAATAAAATAAAGGTATTATTTCCATCTACAACTAAAAGAAAATATATATAAAAGAATAAACATGAGGCTGCTGCCAATGTAACAGCATACTGTTTTACAGCAACCTTCTTTTTTTAATGATGCATATACTAAAATGATGATTAAAAACATAGTATGCTACAGATATATAAGCCAGTAAAAGTCATTTGTTATTATCATGTATTCTGTACTGTATATAATTTTATGCCCTATATTTTTGTACGACAGGCAGCACAGTTTTGTTTACACAAAACATATGTAAACATTAGGAGTTTTTCAGCTACATTATAATCTTATGGGACCACCATTATATATGTGGTCCATAGACAAAAACATCATTAATTTAGCATGATTCTGTGGGTGGGTGTGTGCATGCACGCATGCATACACACACACACACACACATGCAAATAGAAGGATAAACCATAGGCTTTTTGTTTTTGTTGGGAAAGGAAGACAGAACAAAGTAAAATGAATATGGACAAAATATACAGCTTGAGTTAAACCTATTTTTGTAGTTTTTACTTTCAAGCCAT